TATATATATCTCCTCAATATATGTTCCATTCTATATGCATCCGAAGAAGTGGGCTGTAGTCCACGAAAGCTTATGCTCTAATAAATTTGTTAGTCTCTAAGGTGCCACAAGTCCTCCTGTTCTTCTTTTTGCGGATACAGACTAACACGGCTGCTATTCTGAAACCTAAAAATTCAAGTACATTATATTAATTAGATTACTCTTGTCCACATGCTTGTTGACACCCTCAAATAATTTTAATAGATTGGTGAGGCATGACTTCCCTTTACAAAAACTGTGTACTCTTCCAACATATCGTGTTCATCTGTGTCTAATAACTCTGTTTTTTACAATAGTTTTTCAACCAATTTGTCTGGTACTGAAGTCAGGCTTACCGGCATGCAATTGCCAGGATTGCCCCTGGAACCTTTAAAAAAAATGGCATTACATTAGCTATCCTCAGGTTAAACTACTTAGTGTAGGAAATGCCTATTGGACTCTACCATCATAAATCCTTAACAGGAAGATAAGCTTGTCTGTTTGGAGAATTATGTATTGTAAGTAGTAAATCTCATGGTCTTTCTGTCCATTTTAAAAGAACCCTTCACAAATAGACTATCTACAAATCTACCACAGGTACTATGAAGGAACTCTTCTCTCGTAGAGCTAAGAAGTTAGAAGGGGAAGAATAGTCTTCTTGCTGCTGATGGCTAAGAAGGGACCCATTGCTCTTCTCCAGACTGTTTCCCAGCAGTTCCCATATCAGAGCAAGTGGGTGGCCATTCAGTGGTGGTCCAGTGGGGGGATAGTAGTGAGCCAAATCCTCAGATCATCACTCAGGCAAAATATTAGTCAACTTGAGTGGGATTTTTGGCTGAGTAAAAAATTGACTAAGGGCCTCAGGATCTGGGCCAGTGTCATTATGTCCTTACTATGCACCCATAAAAGTTTGATCTTAAATGAAAGTCTTAATTTAAGGAAAGGATTCACATCCTATAACCAGATCTACATCTGCCAACCCTTGCTCTGTAATGGAGGAGTCTAACTACAATGGGATTCCACATGGGAGCAAGGTTCTGCATGTATGGATTTGTTTGCAGGACTGCAATTCAGTTGAAGCCTCTGCCCTTACCAGCAATAGTTGAATCACCTGTTGTTGCTACACAAGTCAAAAAATGATTGGACATATTTAATATCTGTAGGTGCTTAAGTAATGGCATGAAAACAGCTCAGTTCATTTTATTTCCAGTTGAAAGTGCTATGGATTTTACTGTGAAAATAAAGAAAGGACATAACCTGGGAAAATGAGAGCTGGTACATATGAGAACCAAGAACAACTGAATTAAAGTAGGTTGAAAAAAGTGGCTTATATAGAAAAGTATTTTCATGTTGCAGATTGTCTACACAGCAGTGTTCATACATGGTCATAGCTATACAGAAAAATATATCTCCCTTGGAGTTTACAATCTAAATTAGACAAAACAGCAAGTGATCAGATTAGTAGCAATTGGAGGGAAAGTGGTTACAAAACAAATAATGGACCAAATTCTGCCCTCATTCACATCCAGGTAACCGTATTGCCTTTAGTGTGGGGTTGCCTACATGTAAGAGGGGGCAGAATTTAACCCTGTAACTGGTTCTGTTGTGAATGCAATTTGTTCATTTTACTTTTTAAAGAGAGTAGGTTAAGGTACAGGAACAGCCGCAAATGGCACTGAAGAAGTGAACAATGGAATGCTAACTGGAAAATGAGTTGATAGACCGAACCCAAAAAACTGCTATAGGCATTGCATAAACAGCCTTTTATCTGTATTTGTATCAAATTAATGATTTATTACCCAACACCACAGGTGGCAGTGTATACAAAGACAGTGCAACATGTGATTATTTACAGGAATTTTCAGCCTGACATGCACATATACTATCATGAGATGTTTTAATATTTCCAAAACATGTTATCAAGCTGAATAAATATTCCCTGCCCCAAAAGTTCATTTGTGTTTTACATAAAAATATAATATTGCACTTTTTACAAGAACAGCTATTTTGCATATCTGAGATTTATAACAAATGGAATGCTGCTTTTTTAAAAATAAGACTCCATGAGCAACATCCCATATTTAAATTGGGGAGCAAGTAAAAGCCTCCAAAACAAAAAAGTTTTAAATGAAGCATATCACTTCAACATGAACCAAAAAGCTTCTCCGTTTGTATTTGGAGAATGAAAAACATGATTAAAGCCAGCTTGTAAAATGTACCTGCAATATATGCATTTAAAAAAGTTAAATTCATACAGTATGCAGCCATTTGCTTATTCTTCACTGGTCCAAAAGATCTATTTTTGGAATATGAACTGTGGGAAGATCCTTGTACTTAATCTATCAAGTTTTTTGAAAATCTAGACATTAAAAGATGTACACTTGGAATTTTCACAACAAATGCACAGATTGTATGTATATTATGATTTGCAGGTATCTATACATATTTTGTCTTTATCACCAGGTGCCAAATTATAGATCTTAAGTACAGTGTTTTGCAGGAGGATAAATACATGCAATGAGTAAAAATATAGCCATTCAAATCTATATGGTAGAAGTAGAATGTGTAAGTGACTTAAAGGAAAATAGGGTTTAACTACTTAATGGGTTTCTGTGGCATTCTTGGGTTGTAACTTTTTTCCCCTAGTGGAGGAATATGTAATTATGCTCAGCTGATATTGGCTTTCCGAATATTTAAGTTATTGAGCGCGTCAGTCCTGTGTGGAGGATGCCATAAAAAATTCACCTTCAAATTCAATTGAGAGGTTGTGAAGTATTAACCCCTGACCTAAATGCATGTTCCTTTTTCAAAGATTAGCATCTAGGAATAAGTATCATATTTGCACTCTGTGTGTGTAAACTTTTCTGAACGATCTGACATATATGATGAACACTGATTAGTCAAGCAGTTATGGTCTTATTCAAACATTTTACATGTATTTAACTCTCACATGGCACTAAATGGGAGCAGATGATATCTGCACTGTTTTCTTTGTATTTTTGAACTCTGAAATGTATGCTAAATATATTCTGCCACTTAGATTCATAATAACTAACTAGTGTTATGCATTTGTGCAATTTACAATTAGATGAAAAACCTTGTTTAACTATTGCTTCATGATGCCATGAGGTGTCTGGTTGTTATTAAAACACAGACATTGGTTTCTGTCTGTTACAGGAATATTGTCCTATTAGAGCTGAGAAGACAATTAGCAAAAAACTATGGAATATCAGGGAATAACGGAAGTTCAATTTTTAGCATTATGACACACCATAAAATGGTTGGTGCACAAAGCACCTACTGAGTTATTTGCTTCTCCAAAAAGCAGTTTTGAATCCTCCATGTTTAAATTTTTGGGGTACTAATGCTAGAGCCAATTGGACTGTACTGACTGATCAGATACACACATTGACAATCTTCTTATAAATATTTAAGAAATTTTAATGCTATTGGTACTTTACAACACAAAGAATAAAAGGGAAAAAAGTCACCACTAGTGATTCAAGATTTGGAATACTTGTGTTCAAGAAATTATTTAAAAAAATACTATTACATTTTACACTGCAGCATTTCAGCTTGTTGGTTAGAGCATTTGTGTGCCATGTTCCTTGTATCAGAGTATATAAAACCAGAACTTCCTTGTAACCTTGATATGGTTTAAAATTTGGGGCATGCATATACACATTTTACAATAGCCTCAGATTGATGTATGCTTTCATCAACGCACTTGTTTTAAAGAAGTTCAATACATTTCAAAATCCAATTAAACAACAGAGGTTCTATGATCTACTCTGGATTTAAAGTGCTTCACGAGATATGGTGATTTAGCAGCACGAAGAGTCATCAGCCAGCTGCATAGCTGCTAAGGAATGAGTAGAACATGGGCAGTTTCAAGCGCTGCTGGTCCTTGCGACACCAAGCTATAACAGTTCCTTCACTATTCGCTGTGTACAAGTGATGACCATCACAGGAAAATGTAAGGCTGAAAACAATAAAAATCTAATTTTTATATCATATTTAGCAAATTATACTATTTAACTGAAAATACTAGAGGAGATACTTTAAAAAAAGACAAGTACAGCATAACTGCAACCAACACAAAAATCAGTAGCTTGCCTTCAGTGAGGCAAGTTCCTATGAATGCATAAGTCTAGTGCTGTGTGCGCGCGCATATGTGGGCGTGGGCAATACCTGCCTGTTCAAACTGCAATTCAAGGTGTCAGTTACAAACTTTACTGACATAAATTTAACTTAATGCCCAGTCTGTGTGTTTTTCTCTTTGTCACTTCAAGTACAATGTGCTGTGCTGCTCCTGCGGTCATTTCCTGGGTGGAACTCTCTCTGTCTGGCAGAGGGTGTTCACAGTGCAGGGTCCATGCCCCTGAAAGCTGCTCTCAGATGGATGGCCAGAACCAGAATCTGGCAAATTTCATGGGATACCTTTTTTGTTTTGTGGTGTTTTTTTAAAGGCAGGCATTTCCTGATTTTACCACCATAGTAAGTAAATCCACCAGTTCTTTCTACACTTCTACCCCGATAGAATGCTGTCCTCGGGAGCCAAAAAATCTTACTGTGTTATAGGTGAAACCGCATTATATCAAACTTGCTTTGATCTGCCGGCGTGCACAGCCCCCCCCGGAGCGCTGCTTTACCGCATTATATCCGAATTCGTGTTATATCAGGTCGCATTATATCGGGGTAGAGGGATAATTGTTTTATTTCAAGAGACTTAAAAAACCATAAACTTGTACGAAAGTTCTTGTTTCTAATTACTGTGAGGTGCTGCTGAGGTGATGGTTGGTACACATTAAATTAAGAATGACTAAATTAACTTGATGCTGAGAGCACAAGTTAAACCTGAGACCCCATTACAAATGTGAAGAGAATTATGTATCTATGCAAAGCTGTCAGATGGGAGTTCACCTTCAGCCATTCACACACACATTCAGAATCCCTAATTACACATTTGTACTGCAGAACCCAAGTGTTTAGTTTGCTGTACTTTCTGCAATTTAAAGAACTCATTGTGGGTAGCAATGCCTCTCATGCTCTATTAGTATTCTAACACAACTAATGTCAAAATAATCATTTTCCTCTGTATTTAAAAAGTAATTCTCTGGATTAACCAAAAACAGTTTCTAAATAAATTGATACCGTATCCCCATTTAAAAAAAGAATTTCTGCTGCTTAGAAGAGCAAGTCAGTATTTCAGAAACCACTATTAGCAGGGTGTGGTAACAGTGGTAAGTGTTGGCTTTAACAGTGATCACTACAATATGTTTTAAAATGTTGCTTCAGTTATGGGCACAAATATAAATTCTTGTAATAAAATTTGTTACTGTGTTACTATTGAAAAATTATGAAATTTAGGGCATGATCCTGCAAGTCCTTCATGCAAGGAAATTCCCATTGAGAGCATGCTTTAGTGGGAGTTTGGGCCCCAATTCTGCAAACAGTTTAGCATGAGCATAGCTCTTACATAAGTGATCAATGAGCCTCTTCATGTGTGCAAAATTACACAGGTGCTTAACTGTTTGCAGGATCTGGGCTTTTTTGTGCCAGCCAGGGGGAAGGGTGAGGCGGAAACACACAGTAACAAAATAAAGCCACACAAGTCATTTACTACTGAAGCTCATACTATAACCATTTAAAAATCTGCTTAATTGAAAAGTAAAAAGATAACTTGTCAAATTAGGAGTTAATATGAAAATCCTGGGGGAAAATATGAACTTTGTTTTAAAAGACAAATGAGCAAGTATTGTTCAGTCCACAGGGGAATCCTTCAAGTTTCGGTCTGTGTTTATCTCATCATGCTTGCAGCTGAGAATATTTATTACTGTCATGTTGCAATGTATTTGTGCTCATTTTACTTTCATGGGGAACTAGTAGGATTGTGTGCCTGTTTTTAGATAGTTTTGTTCATCCACTTCCCCCATTTGTCAGTGTCTTAAATAAGTCAAGATTTATTTTTAAAGGGAACTTGAATTCTTTTTATGCAGCAAAATTTTTTTTTTACCTTACAATAGGTTTATTTGATTTAGGAAATGTAATTTCCCGCACAGGTTTCAAGTCCCAAGTACTCCACAGCCTGAAAGAAAGAAAAAAGTAATTATTTTCTCCATATTCTACTTAACCTAAATATTTAGGGATAAACATAAGTTTAATTTTAGAAACTGCGAACAGTTGAACAGCTAGTTCAATTTTTTGTAAAAGCAGAACATTAGCATGATTTTAAAACTGCATACAGTCTCAAAACAAAAACAAACATTGATTTTATAAGTGTCTATCAGCAAAACACTTTAAGAACTTAAGGAGGAGAGTGTATGCGCTTACCTTACAACCCCATTTTCTAACCCCCCTGCAATAACATTGATGGACACTCCTTCCGGCTGGTTAGAGAAAGCAACAGAGCATATGATTTCCCTGCAGTGAACATGTCCTACAAGATCACCATTTACCGTCCAAAGTCTCAGATCACTGCCCCCTCCAACTGTAATACAAAGTAAACCACGAATATTACAAGATCATCTAGACTATTTGAATAGCCTATGTCATTTAGCTTTCAAGACCACATCAGCAAGAGATCAGTTTAGTAAAGGTTAAAACTGATTCAGATCAGAAAGCTGTACAAATACTGTACCATAGTTATTTTCTCTTTTTACCATATTTACCATATTTTGTATAGGCAACCCCCCACAAAATTAATATGATTTATAATATAAGCCCTAGCACTTTAGCAGTAAGGAAGCTATAAAACATTCTACTCACCAATTAAACTTTTGGAAAATGCTAGTTTTCATGTTAGCAGGTCACAGTAAACACTGTAATCTCTCTCTCTCTCAAGGTTTACCTCGATCTGCTAATGTGTTCACACTACAACTGCCTTGTCTTTACTAGGATTTTATCTCTTGTTAATTGCCCTATGTTAGCTAACACAAGGTAAGAACACACCATTTTTTCCTAGTGAAGACAAGGCCTGAGAGTGGTAGAGATAAAGGAGACGAATATCTCAGGCTAAGTCTACACTGCACACCTTACAACAGTGCAGCTGTGACACTACAGATGCACCATTGTAAGGCGTGCAGCGTAGCTGCTCTTTATCACGAGGAGAGAGCTCTCTCATAGACAAAATAAAAACACCCCCAACGAAGGGTGGTAGCTTCATCGACGAGAGAGCGGCTCCCGCCAACAAAGTGCTGTCCACAACGGTGCTTTTTGTTAAAACTTTTGTCATTTGGGGTGTTTTTTTCATACCCCTGAACGATAAAAGTATTAACAACTAAAGTGCAATGTAGACAAAGCCTCAGATTCAGTCTTGGCCCTGCCCCTGGAATGTTAAGACCATGTATTGTGTTTCTGTAATTGCCAGAGGTCCTAACCTTCAATCATCCTTTAATATAATAACCTACTTGTGCTACCTTGCAAGATTTTTATTTACAGCCCTGATTTTGAAGGGCTAGAATGGTATTTGATCCACCTCACTCTACATGGGAATACAGGAAGGAAGAATGAAAGCAGCTTCCTGAAGAGACATTAGAAGCCTCTCCTTCACAGAACGAGTCTGGCATTGAGAACCAAGACATTATGTATAGAGGACTGGACCCAAACATTAGAAATAAAGGTTTCAGAGTAGCAGCCGTGTTAGTCTGTATCCGCAAAAAGAACAGGAGTACTTGTGGCACCTTCGAGACTAAAATTTATTAGAGCATAAGCTTTCGTGGACTACAGCCCACTAAAGCTTATGCTCTAATAAATTTATTAGAAATAAAGTGAATGTTGGGCCAAAAAACTGCTTGGTGCTATATGGATTATAAAATTAATCTATTTATCTCGCCTACCTCCCTTGATGGGGGAGAAAATTAGATGCGCACACACACACACGAGGCGCGTTGTCCAAATGACGGCCTCAAACTAACATTAACTACACTACAAGATAGAAAAAGTAATAAAAGATAGTGAGTAGTCAGTGTGCCTCCTCTTACAGAAACAAATATAGTGCTGTAGTGTGTGTATACAATAAGTGTCAAATCATTATGCACCTTAAGCTACTTCTAACTGCCCATGTGAAAATTTGACCTAATATACAAATACATGATTGGGGATGTGTGAGGAGGAAGAACAATTAAGAAAAAGCTGTTTTGTGCCATTTGGCTGCGGAGTCAGGGACTTTCTGGGAAAATTCCTTGCAGGGTTCCAAACTCCCTAGTGTTCTGCATTAACAACAAATACCTACACTTTCTTCTGGAGGTTTTTTTCCTTAAAAACACCAAACAAAAAACCAGACTCCTCTACAGAATTTTTCTGGTTCCAGTCACAGCAAGACCACATGTGCTTTTCCTGTTTGCTTTGAGTCACTAGGTAATGAACTCTTTGTTAATATAGCATATGTGGTGCCTCAATATAGTGCATATATTAAGGGACATCTGAATACTCCAACAAGTCTGTAGTTTTAGCAAATGTAATTTTGCTTTGTACAAGTAAAACGCCTTAGGAGGATACAGTATCTTGGAAAACAAATCACTGCTATGAAAGTAATTAACGTAATAGAATTTGAATTTCTCAGGACTCAAACTTTCAAATCTTTAAAAAAAATCAAAATTACACATGCAGTCCTGTCAATCACTTACAACCTGCATATTTGTAACTACACAAAACATATACACATCATACTGTATATAGAAATAAGAAGTTATTGAGTTGATCAGTTGGCTGCTCAAATGATTCAAGTCACATGACAAACTATTGCACTGGGAAAGTTGGTTCATCTTTAAATCTGGTCTATGAATGTGGATAGGTTATTCATTCATGATACCATACATACCTGAATCACAAACTGTTGCAATATCACCTGTCATTTCACTACCAGAGACTGCTGTCACAGGACTCTTGTGTCCAGCAAGACTTTGGACATAGCACAGCCTACAAAGAATAAAAAAATCTCTAAACCTGCAGTTTAGCTTCAGGAAACTGAGTTTTGGTTTCACACAAGCTTAAAATACTTGGAAAGTAATAATCTGAAATGATTATTTTACACAAAGATTTAAAAAACAGTTAGAAAGTAAGCATTTTTAGGCTAACCTAGGAAATTATATTTGTACCTGTTCAAATCCCAGATGATACAGGTTCCATCCTTGCTTACACTTATCATTATACTATATGGTTTGCAGACAAATAAGCTGGTTATCTCTTCTGTGTGACCATACAGATGTACTTGAGATTCCATTTCTATCTCGGAATGCTGAAAAATAACAATATTAAAATGAGACCTGAATTATAACACATCCACTTATTTATTGTTTTGGAAGTGTGGTTTCCATTGTTTTCAATTGGATCAATACATATAGATTTTAGGGAATGAACTGGCACTCCATGATTAAATGCTTCATATCTTCAGTTCAGATGCTTTTTGTAGGACTTTTAAAGAAGCAAACACATTGCTGACATGAGTATTTGGAGTAAGACATTAACTGTGAAAGGCACTATATTCTCCCACTTCTCACACACAAAGCTTTGAGAAGAAGTTGTGTGGCTGGCTGTTTTCCAAACTCATGTCAGTAGCTCAAATAGAGATGACAGCTAGATCTCCATATTTCAGTTTGACTGGCTAGAGAGGAAATATTGGGGGGTGAGGGACAGTCAATGGCAATGACCAGCACTTTTTAAAAAAAAGTTAGCAAAAACCCCAAGTTAATGGGAACATATTGAGCCAGTGCCAAGTCCTTAGATGGGGCTTAACTAGGTATTAAATAGGTGTGAAATTTGAAGCTTTGCTCTAATACAGAAACTGTCAAAAATTAAATGCCAAAGAAGATGAAACTGCTAAGCATAAGTGCTACTACTTGTGTTTTATTTTATTGCAATTCCTCAGACTTTTTTTTTTTAAACACCCTCTAAATTACAAGAGTTGCTTAATCAGAATGATAATTGCCCAATTAAGAGAAGTCCAGTGTACAAGGAGATTGGAATAATGTTTATACAAGAAAGGTAAACGTCTCTCTGCTACAATGAATATTCCCATAGGTCTTCTTTACTACCTCAGAGCACAGTAATAAACAATCTAGGAATTTGGAAGAGGAAATAGGGCATACAATAGCTCTACTAAAAGATGAAAAGAGTCATTAGAGAACAGAAAAGGAGAAAGAACTGGTAATAGATTTCACTCACAACATGCTAGTTATATATTCTCTAGCACAATCTGAGCAACAAATAGCAACATCCATCTCTGTGCTAGTTACATTGATTACTAGTCAGGACAAGATTGACCTTTAATAATCATAAAACATTTAGAGAGGTTTCATTTAACCAATCACAAGAAAACGATAAACATATTCTCCTACTGTGTACTATAATTGCTGATAAGAATATCCAGTCTCTACATCCCCTCAGAGTAATGTATCTACTATTCATAGAAGTATGGTCAGCCATTATTTTAGAATTTTAAGAACAGAACTAGAGCAAGGTTTTTAATGGGAAAAGTGTCAAGCCAAGATTAATTTTTCTGCTAAACTATTTTGTTGCCTCATCTTTCCACTTCCCCCATCTAATTTGTCTGTTTTGTCCACCTTTTGCTGACACCTACATCTCTGGGACAGGGATTCTCTATTTGTCTCTACGGTCCCTAGCTCAATGGGGCCTGATCCTGGATTGGAGTTTCTAGGAACTATCATAATACAAAGTACAAAATGGTAGTAATGGGAAAGGATGGAACTCTAGGACCAGATAATCTAATTTATTTGTGCTAATAAGTCATGCAACTATGACTTTTCATGCTATCCTCTATTCCTGAAACATACTTGTAAGTACTGTGTGCCATGGAAGCTCTCGCCTCCTCCTTCAAATCTCTTAAGACTCATTTCTTCCATCTATCCTTCCAATGCTGATGTCCACTTCACTACACTAATATAAACATTCCACTCACAATAAAATATTTTTAAAGTGGCATAGATATAAAAATAAATTGATTTAAAGTTGGTCATATATTTAAAATGCCCTCTTTCTGTGTTAGACTGGATGGCTGAGGTTAAGGCACTGGAGTAAGGGATTATACAATAATTACCACACAGTTTCATCTATTCTCTCAAAAGGATATGCAATAGGTTAAAATGCTTCCCTCTCTGTTAGCAAGAAAGCCCCAGATAGATTAGGAACAACTAAAGCGTGGAGCAACGCACTTGCCCAACAGAACCTCTTGGCTGAGGCCTTTTAAGGGTAGTGATTTGAGTGACTTCTCATAACAGTACTTCAGTGGGTTTTGGATGACAGACATTGACAATGCCTGGGAGAAGTAGCAGACAAGAGCAGTTTGTCTGGACTTTTTCAAACACAGATATGGGTCACTAGATCTCTGAAAGCAGGGCTCTCTAGACTCTTATGTCTATCCATTAGCAACATCATACCTGTCTCCTTACTTTAATGATTTACACATGAAGATTTGCCCTGATTGACACATCCTGTACTGCATTTATAATAGGCTGTTCCACTACATCAGCACTCAGCTGGGGGGCTGACTACAGAACAGATGCTAGTAAACATGCTGGCATTCCCTATAGTCCTGTCTCAAGCAACTAACTAAACAACAGATGCTACACAATTGGCAGCAAGGTCATGTTGCCTGAGGTATACAGAAGCGTCAGTGCTGAGGGATTCAGCAAACATGATCTCACAAGAGGACACCTGAGGAGCAAAGCAAAGAAAGAACTCCTCTTCGCAGTTATAAAGTGCCTTACCGCTGTCAAATACAAATTGCTAGTTTCTTTATTAGCATTTTTAAAACACAAGTATTCTGTACAAAAAGTTTATTTCCTATTTTAGTTACCAAAAATGTAACTGATATTGCTTGGGGCTTTAAAAATTAATTGCTCACAGTGGGTGGGCTTTCCTAGTGTGTGTGGGGCTTGAGCCATGAATTTCTGCCAAGTTTTAACCTTGATGCAATGGAATCCTTCTCAATGTGCAGAGAGCACTTAGGCCTCTGTTGCTGCTCCTAGATTGATCAAGCAAATGCAACATAAAACAATACTGTGGCCAGTTTAAGTGTTGCTATTCAGAACCCTGTGGCCTAAGATGGACTGTCAAGAATTGTGTCAGCGATTTGCTACTTCTTGGGAAAAAGTTATGAACTACTGAAGAGGCTGATGCTGGAGTTATTTACAGAAAAGACAACTTAAAACAGAAGGCAAAATCCTGGCTCCATTACAGTTCTAGTCTATTTTACACCCTGAGCATCTTCCATCAATGCATGAAGCGATATGACTAACATCTGTCACACGTTATTTAGTCTCATCACTGGGGAAAAGGTGTGCAGGGGAGTGTTTTGGTAAGGATTCTTTTTTAAATTATTTAATACATGATGTTATGTGTCTACCTTCGAGAAGGCAAGATCAGAGAAGCATGCCTTGCACTTAGAGCAGAATGTGGTAAGGTTTGCAAGAGTCCTTAGTTCCTGTGTGAGTTTGTGCCAGTCTCTTACTGGCCTCCAAGAAGTTTCTGTCTTCCGTACAAATGGGCTTTAACCTTATTATAGAAAGCTCCATCGTACCACAAGACTGAAGCTGTTGATCGTGGTCTTCATTCCAGAGCTTTAGGTGATATTTTTGATACTCTGGGCCCAGGCCACTGAGTGTGTTGAAGCTAAGGATCAAGACCTTGAACCTGACTTGATGTTCTGCGGTAAGACAGTATAGAGAACAGAGGACAGATTTAATCTGTTTGTGGTAGCTAGTGTATTGAGGTGTGCTGCAGGGTTCTGTACTAGTTGGAGTTTCCAAAGCACTGAAGGCTTCATGCCCATATATACCACAATTAGATATCGCAGCCAAAAGATGAAGATGTGAATAACTGAATCCAGGTCACTGTTCATCAGGATGGGGGAGCATCTCCTAACCAACTGGAGATGATAGAAAGCATTACTTATGGATAGAGCTGGACAAAGTTTTTGGGAAAATAGTTTATTTGCTGAAAAATGCAGTTACAGTCAACGCAAAAACTACTTACAATTTTTTGTCCTGTTCACCAAACAGTTTAGAACAAACAGCTTAGTGGTCAGGGCACTCACATATGATATGGGACATCCAAGTCTAGTCTCTGCTCCAAGGGCTATAATTATTCGTAAGAAGCTTCAATAGGAAAGATTCAGAAAGTCCCATAACTGAATTGACATAGTCCAGTGGTTAGGGCACTCACCTGAGGGGTGGGAACTCGTGTTCAAATCCTCTCCAGGTCAGGGAGAAGAAGAATTGAACCAGGGGTTTCTCATGTCCCAGGTGAGTTCTCTAACTACTGGCCTAAAGAGGCAGCTTCCTCCTACACCCATCCCATTCCGAGGTGTTATGTCAAAAGTGCCCCAAACTGAAACAAACTATTTCATCCCAGCTGTTTGATTCTCTGACCAGACACCAAAAAATCTGTTTCCAGGTCAACCCAAAAAGTGTTTTGTTTTTGCAGTTTATTGGAATTGCCAGCAAAATGAAAAATCTATTTATCTACGATAAGGCCATTGCAGAGAAACTAAATTAATTCTTTGCATTGGTCTTCACTGTTGAGGATGTGAGGGAGATTCCAAAACCTGAGCCATTCTTTTTGGGTGACAGATCTGAGGAACTGTCCCAAATTGAGGTGTCATTAGAGGTGGTTTTGGAACAAATTGATAAACTAAATAGTAATAAGTCTCCAGAACCTAATGGTATTCACCCAAGGAACTCAAATGTGAAATTGCAGGACAACAACTGTCATCTGTAACCTATCATTTAAATCAGCTTCTGTACCAAATGACTGGAGAATAGCTAATGTGATGCCAATTTTTAAAAAGGGCTCCAGAGGTGACCCTGGCAACTACAGGCCAGTAAGCCTCACTTCAGTACCAGGCAAACTGGTTGAAACTATTGTAAAAGAACAAAATTGTCAGACACAGATGAACATAATTTGTTGGGAAATAGTCAACATGGTTTTTGTAAAGGGAATCATGCCTCACCAATCTACTAGAATTCTCTGAGAGGGTCAACAAGCATGCGGACAAAGGAGATCCAGTGGATATAGTGCAGGGGTTGGCAACCTTTCAGAAGTGGTGTGCCGAGTCTTCATTTATTCACTCTAATTTAAGGTTTTGTGTGCCAGTAATACATTTTAACATTTTTAGAAGGTCTCTTTCTATAAGTCTATAATATATAGCCATCAATGCCATTAAAGCTGTTTCAGTTCCATGACCTGGCCTGAATCCAGATTATGCCATGTCTAGAGTATTAACTTCAGTACAGACGCTCCCTGGGTTACACAAGACCCGACTTACGCAAATTTGCACTTACAGAAAAAGTTCCATCAGCCAGAAATAGGATTTTCGAGTTGCGGAAATTTTTGTGTAATGTATGGGTACACGTTTCCGACTTACGCAAAATTCGAGTTACGCAAGGCTTTCCAGAACGGAACGATTGCGTAAGTCAGGGGGCGTCTGTAAGGTGAGCTTGTAGTTGGAATTTGGCTAGCTTCTCTAAGCTTGCTCAGGAACAGGAAGTTGGACAAGACTCCCATTGACTTCAACGGGGCAAGGATTTACTCCGAGAATTCCCTTCTTCCTTCCACAGCAGTTAGAGAGAGTAAGGTGGAGATTCAAATTTATCAGCCACCTATTAGTCAGGGGTGGATAGAAGAGCAATGTCCAGACATGGCATTTTGGTACCTGGAGAAGATACTGGAGTCTCTGTCAGAGGGGCTGGCCTTCCCCTTTGTCAGGGTGCCCTGAGTAGTGGTATCCCCTCACTCTGATCTCTCATGTCTGCATCTGGACAGTAGATTTATTCCTTTGGACAGTAAATGTCTGGAGTCCTGATGCTGATGTACTAGTAACTAAGTACAGTCCTCAAACACAACAAAAATCAGGATTTGCTTTGAAAGTAAAATAGGGTGGGAAAGTCATTTATTTTTCTTTAAAGGTGGGATGGTGGGAAAGAGAAAAGTTGGGCACCATTCAAATGGTTATTAAAATGCAGAATTCAAAATTTAAATTATTTGTCAAAATGTATATGATAGGGTACTTTGAAAGCCTCTTTTAGTTTAAAAAACCCTAAATAATACAAGGCAGTTTTAATAATACAAGTCTAGTTTTAAGGAGTGAAGTAAACAACAGCAAGGATAAGAAAAGAAAAATAATGTAATATAGCTAAATTTCTAATTATAAATCCTGTCTGATATACTTACCATATTGCTAGAGAATCTGTTCATATACGCTGTGATGACACCAGATTTGCTACCTGTAAAAAGCTGGCAACTGTCTGGTACCCAAGCACAACTTGTTACCTTGGAGAAAAAAAAAGCCAGAGAAAATAAGTACTATTTTAAATACATTCTATTTCATTATACCTAGCTATTTTATCAAATCTGTTTTTGTTGGTTTTCCTAAGAAAAACATGCAGTAAATAAAATACCTGACCCAAAATGGAAGCCCAAGAGCAGTTTAATAAATCTGCAGAAGGTCATACATTTTGCATAGTTAGAGTTAAAATTATGGGTGAAATGATGTGGTGCATCTCTAAAATACATAGCACAGAACTCTCAGCTCAAAGGGATGGAGGTATGTGTTAAGGTAACTTTCTGCCCTCCTGATCCTGGGCTGCTCTGCTGGCTGGAGAGGCCTTGGCGTAATTTGGACAGTCCTAAGGGTCTGTGTAAGTTATGGCAGCCTCCCAGGGCTGTGTGCTTTGTCCCCATCCTTGATGCACCCCGTCACACATGCCCTATATCAGGGTTTGCAAGGTGGTCTTTGGAAAATATTCTTACTGCGGTCTTTCATGGTATCTTTGCTGGAAGAATCATATCACAGTCAGATGCAGGGCTTTCAGAGCACCTTTATGCAGTTCTGACTCTTATGTGGTATAAAGAGGCCAGTGTAGGGTGAGGGTCTCACTCTGACTTTTTCCATTTTGTCTTTAATCAACATTTTTGACTGTACAAACCGTAGAACCAACAAGGAGGCACTTATTCCGCACCTCACACATACCAATATTTTAAGGCATCTATGATCTTCCCTACTCTTGTTCTCAGCCTAGAAACAGATTGTTTGGAAAGTTCTATAAACTCATGATGACATATCCAATAATGGTTTTTCTGCCAGGATAGAAGAGCAGAATCAGAAGCAAATTTTGGGAGCAGAGAGATTGAAGAGGAAAATTTAGTGGAGAAGTAAGAAAGAAGGATATTTGGTGGATGGAAATGGAGGAAGAACCACCAAAAAGGTAAATAAAGTTTTTTTGGGGGGAGGTGGAGGCATTTTGGAGAGTTTGGAGGGGCTCGTCCAAAAATGGGTATGCCCCAGAAAACGAATGTGGCATTTAGCGTAATTCCTAGACAGACACAAGCGAAATACTAATCGGCAAAGCAAATGAGTGCAGCTGAGTTTAAACCTGGGATGTAAGTTTGTCTCCCCCACTCCATTACATGCTTTTGAAGAACTGATTGAAATCCTTATGATCACATAATAAAGAATGTCATCAAGGACAAGGTGATGTTGACATTGATAACGGGCTACAGAGCCTTACATCTCTGTCACTGGTTCAAGCATGAACAAGATAGCGAGCGACTAAAGACACTTATCTGATGGCATATATTAAGGGACGTACGGGATCCACCTTAGTTCCCACTGGATATGTGCCCACATCACATTGAGCACCCTGTTGGCATTTTCAGAGACTCTAAGGACTACATGGGCATGGATGCTAAACCTTGCATTGTTAGAAACTGTTCCCCAAAAGAAAAGGTGCAGTGCACTGGGGTTAAAGTAGGGTGACCAGATGTCCTGATTTTATAGGGACAGTCCCAATTTTTGGGTCTTTTTTTATATAGGCTCCTATTACCCCCCACCCCATGTCCTGATTTTTCACATTTGCTGTCTGGTCACCCTAGGTTAAAGTGATCAGGAATGGTGGTGGAAGGCTATGAAATTTGCACTATCACTACCTAGGCTGTACATGTTCTCTATTAAAAATAGATTTCAGTTTTCAGTGATGTCATATAGAACACCTTTTACAAATACATTAACTTTACAATCAGAAACACTTAAAAAAAGTTTTACCTGGTGCAACTGTGAACTCTGTATAAAATTTATTGGAGGTTCACTTTGCTTGCTTTTTAGTCTTAAAATGTTATCAGCATATCCCCAACTCAGAATGGCTGACCACTGGATATCTGTACTGTGCATGCTTCTCACACCTGCAGGAAAGGCATTATATGTTGCATGTCAAGTATGCGGTCACAGTTTCAGGGTTACTGCACCTTTGCCGCCCCCCCTCTCCAGTCTTCATTGAGGGCACCCAATTAAGTTTTTAGACTTCCAGCCACCACCCCTCTTGGTGCAGAGATTCAGGTCTCTCTCCCTTCAGACTGGGGGTTTAGGCTTGCAGTCCCTCTGCACCTCACTGCAATTTCCCAGCAGGTCTGACTGGAATCCAGCACCTGTGGTTAACTCTTTCTCCAGGGGCTAAAGCAGTGTATACCAGTTACCAAACAGCTTTTACAAAGCAAACTGCATTTATATGCTTAGGGCAAAAGCATTACAGAAAAAAATATAAAAAAAACAATAAAAAAGCTAGACACATACTAAAAGTGTACCAGAGGTCACCCCCAACTCCCGCAGAGCGCTCTTAGGTGCCAGTCTTTCAAACCACATAAATGGGTTTGCTCCCTTGGTCCCAAGTTCATGTCAGCTTTTAGGTGGATCAGGAACCAGACCCCAACTGGACAGTCAGCTGTTTCTTTTAACAGCTCAGGCCATTATTCTCCATCTCTGAGAACAGGTAATCACCAGTCAATTGCCCTTTCCTCAGGGTGTAGCTTCAAATCTCTGGGTTTTTGCATAATGGGGGTTGTGGAATTTACATTAACCACTTGCCAGGGATTCCCCAGGAAACCCACTTAAATACTTATTGTCCCAAAATTCATGCCTGTCTGGCACATTTCAATATAGTCATCTGAACTCCTTACACTTCCCAGGTCTCACATCTGTCACGTGTGATTACATAACGGATCATTTTGGCAGCTATTTATAAAAATCCACGGTTAATATACAACACGCATCTTGCTTTATTAGGCTAGGATACAATGGCCAAAGTTTTTTAAAATGGGTGTCTCCAGTTAGGCTACAACATCCATCTTTAGGCTCCTAAATAAAGTGGCCTGATTTTCAAGAGTGCTGAGTATTAGAGCTCATTGACATTTTTCAAAGTCTGCCATTTTGACAAAAGTTTTCATTGATATTTTGAACGTTGGGGGGGGGGGGGGGGGGGGGG